GGCGTCGGGGAGCCCCAGAGTGCCAGCAGGTGACGCCCGGGGTCATGGCCGGCAGACACCAGCGGGCGCTCCCAAAGCGGGTGCAGCCCCAGCGGCCTCCCGAGTCCCCCAACGGTGGCCCATGGGGACCACGGAGCGGAGGAGGGACCAGGAACCGGCCGGTGGGGCCGCCTCCCCCCCCACAGAACTCCGCCCGCCTGCCTCTTCCAGATGCCAGGTCGCCACCCAGGACGGTGGCAGGTAGGGCAGCCCTCAGGGCCACGGAGAGCGCCAGCCCGGCCACCTGGAGGGACAGCTGCCGTGGACAGGAAGTGGACCCCTCGGAAGGCCAGGGACCCGAGAGACAAGCCACCCCAGTTTATACGGGGTTCCCAGGGCGCATGCCCAGGGCCCCTGACGGCCCCTCCTGCCACCTGCAGGGGCCTCTCCCCCGGGGCCTCTCCCGCGCCCCGACACGGTCACACAGCTGGACCTGAGACCCGTGAGCCTCATCCTGCCCACCAGCGACACCCCAAGTGAGGCAGATGCTCCCACAGGCGCCTGTGGGAGGTGGAGTGCTCCAGACGGCCTGGGGGAGTGGGGGAGGCTGCCAGGCTGGGGTCTGAGAACAGGCAGCGGGAAGCAGGCAGAGCGTGTTAGAGCTCCCAAACCAGCCAGGCAGCCAGGGAGCACAGCGCAGCCTTCCAGAGACTGCACCTTGCACTTCCCGGGGTCTGCTCGAAATAGCAGAGCTGCTCCCCCACCCTGCCCGCGCCTGTTCCCACCAGGCCCAGGGAGGCCACCCCGGGTGGGCGCAGGCCCGCGTCCTGCGCCCAGGGCCTGGGGGAGCCGTCCCGTCTACCCACCAGAAGGGCCTGGGGTGGCCCTGGGTGGGGCGAGCCCCTGGGCCCAGGCTTGCTGGGAGGCTGAGGCGGGCCCACGGAGACACCCCAGAAGGCCAGGGCTCTGAAGAGGCGCACAGGACAGCACCTCAGCTCCCCCCAACATTTGGGGGCCCCAACCTACAGGCTGACTGCGGAGACCTGGAGGGAGCGAGGGCGGTGGGGGGCAGGCAGGAGCGGAGGACACGGAGACTGATTTCTCAGCAGGCAGCCGGCCAGCGGCCCCACCTGCCCCCGCACCCGCCTTCCCTTGGCCGCGGGGAGGCAGGGTGGTGGTGGGCGCTGCGGGCTCGGCCTCCCTGGCGGCCAGGGGGAGCCCCTCGGACGTCCTTCCGTCTCCCCTCAGCCCAGCGGCTGCCTGGTCCACCGGCCCCAGGGGAGCCCAGGGAGGGCTGAGGGCTGGTGTGTGGCCCAAGGCCCGTGGACTCATCCGGGCAGCCGCTGCCTCCCATCTGGGCTGGGCCAGCTCTGCGCCGGGCCTGGCTCAGCCAGGGCCCCAGGGATGGCCAGAGAGGCCCTGTGGCCACCAGCAGGACCCCGCGGCGGGGCCTGGGCGGCCCAGGCGTGCAGGACGGACTCCTGGTCGTGGACGGACGCGGGTTGACGCTCGCCAC